TTTGAAGGTTGGACACTAGAGGGAACCAGAAAGAACTAAAGATTACAATTAAAGGAGAAGAGACCCACTAATACAGAATGGAGCAAAATATTATAACTTGGAACAAATTCAAGGATATTTGGGAACAATGCACTCAGAAATCACTTTTAAAATTGTCTGCTATCATAAAACTGTATTCAAAAGAGGCTATAGAAGAGGAGTATGCTTTACTGGTCAAGACTTAGATAGAGGCTGATTTGAATGTGGATTAAAAAATGACAGGTTACAAAAATGATATGGAAAAAGATGTTACATTGAATATACAAATGAAACCAGCTGATGTCTTAACAATTAAAAGGGATATACAAATAACAAATCAGAAGAGTGACTTGGATAAGTTTTTTATTTTGGATTTACAGAAAAGATATGTTAAAGTTTTGAAGGACTATCTAAGAAACAAAGAGAAAATGAAATCAAGTTCTGGGACACTAAAGCTATTAAAGATTAAGATTGTTAAAAGCAAAGGGAAGAAATATAAGGTTGGTTTATTTGATCAAGGTTAAAACATATACGTTGTTAGTTCTGGTAACTCTTAATGCTGACCAGGACCAAATGACGAGGCTTTAAAGATTTGTTTATACATAAGAGATGAGATATGAGAAGAAGAGATCTTTTGTTATATTTTTAGAAAAAGTGGTAAGTTACTGTGTTAAAAGTAAGGGAAAGGAATATAAAGATGGTTTTTTGATTAAGGTTAAAATATATATGTTGTTATCTCTGGTAACTCTTAATGGAGTTTTGCTGATTAGGATTGAATGGCAAGGCTTTAAAGATTTATTTATAGATAAGAGATGAGGGAGAGTTTTTGTTGTCGTATTAGAGAAGGTGATAAGTTACTGAAATTGTGCTTGTGATGAAGGGGGAAGTCACCTCTACTATATTTTTTTTCTTTACTATATAACTTTTTTCTTTTGTTAATTTTTTCTCTGCACTTTTTTTTTCTTTTTACTCTTTTATATTTTTCTTAGTTGTACTAGTTCTTTGTAACTGTAAACTTTTATAAAAATTATTATTAAAAAAAGAAAGCAGGAGCCCAGACCAGAGGGGGCATTCACACCTGAGTCCATGTTTACCAATCAAAAAGGAGGCATTTACCTACAGTACAGTGAAGCACAGATGATGAACTGGTTGTCATCCCTTTTCTTCCATCCAAAAGCGGAAAATAATTGTTTTGAGGTGATACAGAAAACATGGGTGGAAGTTTTGTTTACTACAGGCTGAATTGAGGACAGTATCACACATTCCTGCATTCCAGAAATGGTGGATAGATTGTGTTTGTGCTAGGGCAAGCAGGGGGTGTGGATCTGTCCTAGATCTGTCTCTCTCTATTTCACTGCTCCCTAGAAAAAGTTTAGTAGTAGTAGTACTGTAGTAGTAGTAGTAACATGGAGAAGGAGAAGAAACGTCTTATAAAAACTAGAAGGAAGTGTTTGGCAGGTGTTAAACTAAAACAGAAGGGTGGCAAAAGCCCACAATATAGTGAAGAACTGAGGCCAAGAAGGCAGGACACAACTGGAGAAGCAAGAGCAAGGATGAAGACTCAGATTTTCACAGGATATTACCACAAAGGCATCAGTAGGCAGTACTCAAAATCTCAGATGTTTCTACACCAATGCACAGAATATGGGAAATAAATAGAGATAACTAGGGATGCTAACTCAGGAAGATAAATATGATATGATAGGCATCACTGACACTTGGTGGGATGATAGTCATGATTGGCACATAGCACTTGAAGGCTACCTTTTGTTCAAAAGGAACAGGCCCAAGAGAAAGGGTAGAGATGTCAAATGATATGTAAAAAAAATATATATTTGAACAGACATTTAGGGATAAGCATAGAAATCTTGTTGTACGTCTTTGGAAAAGTCTAAAAGGAGAGACAAAATGAAAGCAATATCATTGTGGAACTTTATTACAGACTTCATAGGCTGGCAGAAGAAACATATAAGGCTTTTCTGCATCAGATGACCAAATTTTCAAAAAGACATGCAAGAGTGATAATGGGGGATGTCAATTATCCTAACATTTGGGTATCTAATTCTGTCAAGAGGTCCAACAAATTTCCTTTCCTCTCTTGGTGGCAATTTAATTTCTCAGAAAGTGGGAGAGAATAGAAGGGTGTCTGTTATCCTGGAACTTATCTTTACCAAGAGGGAGGAATTGATTGAAGGAGTGAAGTTGACCAGCACCTTGGGGGAAAGTGATCATGCTATCCTTGAATTGATAATATCCAGAGGAGTAGGAACTGAAAAGAGTCAGACC